CCATGAGCTGCCAGCTTCCCAAGGAGAATATTATGAGAGACTGTGTCAAAGGCTTTGCTAAGTCCAGGTAAATGACATCCACAGCCTTTCCTTCAGCCAACAGGCGGGTCACCAGGTCACAGAAGGAGATCAGGTTGGTCAAGCAGGACCTGCCTTTCATGAACCCATGCTGGCTGGGCCTGATCCTCTGGTTGACCTGCACTTGCCTGTTGAGTTCACTCAATCTGAACTAACCGCTCCATTTAGTAGTAGAGCTTATCCCGAGGAGACCAGTGCCCTAAAGTGTGTTATTTTGTTTCTGATTTCTGGCTTGAAGCTATCAGCTTTGGTTGTCTAAAGAGTTCCTTTGTGATGGCTGTGGATGTAAAAAGCTTTAAAAATCCTTCTTGGTGCGTGAATATCCTATGTAAACCTAGTTAAAGCAGACACACACGCAACTGTGCATTGATTTCTCAAAGGTGGGAACGTTGCTGGTGAAGGCTGTGGATAGAATTTCAAGTTTTAACATTAACTGGTAAAGAGTAACATCTCTCTCTCTTTTCCAGGAGGAGCAGTTGGTGGATTGTTTGGTGCCTGGATGACTAGTGGACAGTTCAAGCCGGTCCCTCAGATTTTACTGGAATTGTCTCCTGCTGAGCAGCAGAAACTCTATGATGAAGCTGTTGTCATTCTCAGGCGCTTGGACTGGACTGACGTTGCTCAGCTGATTGCTCTTGTAATGGGAAATGCTAGTCTCCAGCAGAAGTTGACAGCAGTGCTGATAAATTACCTCTCCAAAGACCTAAGAGCAGATATACAGTATGGAGAATAAACCTTTTCAGAGCAGGCTTTTTACAGTGTAATGACTTCTACTCTGACAATTGTGATTCTTCAACATAGCAATTATTAGTTATCAGTACTAATTATGAATGTAGGCAGATCTAAGTATTATTTTGGGGGTTGGGGTGGGGTTTTTTTGTTTGTTTTGGTTTGTTTGTAAGGATAGTATTAGATTACTGCATTATCCTGACACTGACTTGCCATGTAATTTGGAATTACTCTGTGCTAGGACTGAATTCAAAATCACAGAAGGGAATTATGTTTCTCTTACGCTAATGTATCACTAGTTAAAATTTTCAAAGTCATTGTGTTTTATTTAGGAGATTTAAGCCTGTTTGTGTAAGTGCTTTCGTTTTCTTCTGTGAATAACAAATAGGTGCCAAAGTAGCTAGGGCAGTTTGAAGAATTTTACCTGCTGTCTGTTTCAGTCCTGCAAAAGAAAGGTACAAGACATTACGTTATTCTACTGTAAACTCAAAGATCTCAATCCTTACTTTATTCTTTGTCACATTTTTATTGTAATTCTTGAGTTAGTTATTCCTTTCTGTAAGAATTGAAGCCAGTGCCTAAACAAGATGCAAAGCAACAGGTGAACAAACTGCACACAGTTAGTAGTTCCTGATGTCCTAGAATGGGAAGGCATGGCCAGAATACACTTCTAAAGAAATGTAAAAATGGGGAGCTGGCTCTACCATTTTCGTACTATCCCTAGGATTGGGGTTGTCATTTCAGCATTGGTTTCTTGACTGAATCTGAACAGCTGGTCCTCTCTTTTCATTAAAATATTCATAAGAAGCACCATAGTGGCCTGCATTTTGCTTTACAGTAAACGAACTCTTGAAGAACTGGGTACTGAAGTTTGAGGAAGAAGGCAGCCCTGTCCTGGTCAGTCAGCAGTTGGCAGAGGTGGTGGCGTGGGATGACATGCCAGCTGCAGTTAACACTGTAAGATCCCAATGCAATGTTACCGAGTATCTCAGCCAGTTGTTCACCGTTTGCTTCAAGGCACTTGTGAGACAAGTTTGTACGTAGAAGAATGTGCAGGTGTGCCTTCTTTTGTATGTAAAAACAAGTGAAACTTGCTCTGACAATTTTGGTTTTCCCCTAAAATAAAGGTTTATCTCTCTGTGCGTGGTGTGGTTTCTAGAAATTGAGTTTTAATTGGTGAAGCTTTAAACTCAGAAGTTGCTATTGTATACATTTGATTAATTTACTTCTGTAGGTACAATTTGCCATTAATGAATTCAGTGTGTTTTCCTGCCTGGAGTGCAGTGCAGCGATTGTTCTTCTCATCATTTGAAAACACTTTTTCAGTGATGTGAAAGACCGAAGTCCATGGTAAATGGGCACTCCTGACCCTGTCATAGTTTCATAATGCCAAGCCTGAAATCAGTGTTTGTTCAGTTCCATTGACAGATTACGCCCACTGCAACCGGCTTTTTAAGACTACATACTCTGTGTAGCTGTTTTAAAATACTATTTTTAGGAAGGCAGTGACTTTTATTTGCAATTTTCTGGTTATTTCACAAATTAAATTCACTCTTTTTTTTTTTAACACACTGCTAACAGCAGCAGATGATTGAACGATACAGTAGGATGGAGCCTGCCATCTTATAACCAGCTCTTTGAACCCAGACATGAAAGAGCTTGACATCTGATTGCAAAGCAGGCCGTAGGAAAGACGTTGTTGTCCAAAACTGATGCTGCTATAGATGGCCATTGTAAAGCCCTACCCTAACTACGCTGAGTTAACAGATCATCTGAGAGCAGAGGTCCAAGGTGACCATAACTAAATCATACAGCACGGTTTTGTTTAAGTTAACAGATTGTCCGGGAGCAGAAGTCTAGGTGATGTGTTACTGACTTGATCAGTAAACCGTGAGCAGTTGCTTAAGATCTGCCAAGAAGGAAACTGGGGGAAAGGTAATTCTGGCGGGGGGCGGATTGCAACCACCGACTCATGAGCCCCCTACCACAATTACACCCCCGACTCAAATTGAAGGACAACTGAGCATGCTCATTAATTTAAATAGTAGGCAAAGAGATTTTAAACAATTGTTAATGCTGAATATGTATTAGGGAATTAAATACAGTAATGAATGTGTATAAATAGAGACTGACTTGATGATTTGGTGTGCTAGCTTTGTGGAATTACCACCTAGCACCCAAACTTGTGCAACTTTGAGAATAAAACAGTATCTCGTCTCAGTGTGTGAAGACTGGCTTGTTGCACACCGGGTAAACAAGTCCTATTTGGCACAACAACGTTGATGTCAATTAAATTATAATAGTATCCAGTATTTAAACAGATCGTTATCAGATTTCAGAGTGGATTCAGACATCTATCATGGCTCCCATTTTACAGGCATTCATAAACTGGAGCCCAAACATAGGTAGTGAATTGGTTTTTATCACTCGTATCAGTGTCATAGCCATGAAAGGAGCTTAAATTACATGACTCCTAGTCCTGGACTCTATGTTACTCTATTTCTTAGGGTACTCTTTTAGATGCTTTTTATCATACATTTAGAAATGACAAACTGGTTTTAATTATGGTCTTTCAGCCTTCACTGTCATATGAGGCAGGCTTGTGTCATATGGGTACCAACAGATTTTTGGTCCAAATAGTTCATAGTTCTGCATGGGCCAGTCTAGCTTATGTTAAACCCCACTGCCCCTGAGCTCCCAAGAAGCTTTTGACTCTGTGCCACATTATAATAAATTTAACTTCCATAGGTTTTCAGATGAGCGAAGTCGAACCAGGAAGAAGTGAGTTGAATTCTGTTTGTCCTCTGTATCATTATTTAACAGTTTTGAAGCCTTTGAAGTCATGCTCACCTCTCACGTACGACTTGCCCATGTGTAACTGTTGCTCATGTGGACCCTGCAGGACCGAGGAGTATTTGGCTGTGAAAATTCTGTCTTTTGCTAGTCACTGTCACAGCGCAGACTTCCTAAAGGTCTCGTTCCCAACAGCATTGCAGAGGTTCCCAGGCTTGGTCCTCTGGAGAAGCATAAGAACTACAACAGAGACCTTGAAGTAAGGGTAGGGAGCAGGGTGCTTGGGGGGTGCACCATGGTGGCACACCACAGTGCCCGTGATACTGCTTAATTAGTTGCTAAACTTCTCACAAAGAAGCGCACAAAGAACTGCAAAAGCATAACAATCCTGAGATGCCATTAACTGACTAATGCTGAGTTTACAGCAGGCTGTGAGGACCTGACCAGCAGCAGTAATCTGCCCAAAAGGTGATCAGGCAGAGAGCTGCTTTGAACCTCCGAGCTGAGGTTCTGCACAGTATGTGCATGCCCCCACAAAGGAGGGTCTGATGGCTCTTGGCTCAGCCTGTTTGCATGGCCTCGGTCACATCAGCTCTCATCTCTTACTCCAGTATGAAAAGTAACACGGATTAGCATTACATGGGCAGGTTTTCTAAGGACAGCCCCTCTCCTTCCAGGGCTGCACACCTGCACCGATGGAGGGCTTTGCTGGAGAAGAACATTCCCAAATGAGACAGTCTCCATCTCTCTCAAAGAGGTCTCCTGTGGGCTGCTGGCAGGAGGGGATGCTGTCCAACCATCTGCGTAGGGGTCCTTGCTTGCCAGGGGAAGCCAGTGGCTGGGGTTCCTCTGTAGGCTGCTGCTCCCCTGCCTGGGCCTCCTGGGTCTGAAGAGCAGGGCGGTTTGGAGAGGTGCTCTGCTGCCTGACTAAGGGCAGTTTGTTTAAGGAAGCCCACCGATCTCATGCAGCAATAGTTTGCGGGATCACTTTGGGCAGTCACCCAGCTTCCCCATGCAGCTGCTTTTGTGTGAGGTGGTGGTGATGATGACAACACCCAGCTAGTGACGGAGGGCTGTGCGAGGTGATGACTACTGACTGACGGTAACAGTGAGGTGTGATACTACACGCAGCTCGTTGTTATTATTTGGTTTCTCACCATATCGTTTGAGATGATTCCAGCAGTGTAGTGTGTTGTACTGTCCACTGTAGCCCAACTACGGGCCACTGTGCCCTGGCAGAACTGCTTTTCCCTCTCATATTCCACAATTTATAGCTCCTGCCATATGTGCTTCAGTGCGTGGGGCATGGTTGGGGTGGAATGGCTGCAGTCACCTGCTCCGGGTAACACTCACCTCTTTTGGGAGGAAAGCTTGTGCTGCAAAGGACCCAGGTGGGTCAGGATAGCTGCTCTTCTGAGGCGAAGTTCTGTTTAGCATACACAGCATAAAGCTACTGAGACCCAGCGTGTCCATATTTCTTTCAGATGACAGCAATTTGATGATTGCAACCCAACAGTGGTTACCACGCCTCTTCTCCCTTTCGGTTGGTTTATAGGAAATTAGTGTTACAAAACTCACTGAAAGATCTTATAGAAGGGGATTGTGTTATTCAAAGTCATTAAGCAAATTGATTTTACACAGCCATACTCTCATGGCATACCTGCTCAAATGGTCTGACCAGGATTTCTTGTGCACAACATGGAGGACAAGTCAAATCCTCGCTTCATCCGAGTTCCTCTTGATTGTCAATGATGAACTAAGTTTTTGGACAAATCCTCTATATCCTTTAGGATATCTTTTCTATCCTATTGCTATTGTCTTGCTGTTAGCCCATTGGGGTATCAGAAAGACTGGCATATGGGATTTGCTGCAACCTCCGCCACTGTCCTGCTGTCAGTTTGGGGTCTTCTGTTCGGGAACAGTTTGTGCTGTGGTCTCACCAGCATGGGGCCTCCAGGGCTCGACAGCAATAACGCATTCCTCCATTTGATGAAATGGCATCCCTCCCTATCCATGTAGGCCTCTCTTTTAATTGTTGTTCTGGTGCTTTCCCACACACATATTTCCAGTCATACAGCATTTATACCAATCTTGATATTTCTGTTAAAAACGATGCAGATTCACATGGAAGTTCAATTTTTCCATTTTTTCCTCTGTGGTGGGTTGACCCTGGCTGGATGCCAGGTGCCCACCAAAGCTGCTCTATCACTC